GATTCAAGCTGCTCTTTTCCAAACCGTGAAAATGAATGCAAACAAGAAGCAAGAATTTCAGGAATGACGACTTAAATTTTAGCCACACAAATGATAGTACGGCTTCCGAACACTAAAAATATAGCGCATAAGTCACGTGGACCACTTATGATACTTTAATGGTGCTTATTTAACGTTTCCCTTTCATTTCCAGTTTAAACTTTCATTGTATAGAAAAGAGCAGCATGGATAACAAAGGGATAGTTCACCCAAAAATGAAAATTCTGTCATTAATTACTCACCCTCATGTCGTTCCAAACCCGTAAAACCTTCGTTCATCTTTGGAGCGCAAATTAAGATATTTTTCATTAAATCTGAGAGCTCTCTGACCCTCCATAGACAGCAAGGATCATAACACGATCAAGGCTCATAAAGCAAGGACATAAATGTAATAATCAATAATCAACGAAATGAGCGTTGTCTTTGTTCAGTAGAAAGCGTGCGCATGTTGAACGTAAACAACGCTCATTACGTTGATTAATGATTATGTTCTGGGGTACTCCCCAAAATGGCGGAAGACGCTTCCTCGGGGAGAAGAATTGTTGAATAAATTGTTATTATTGCTTTCTTTGCGCACAAAAAGTATTCTCGCTGCTTCGTAAAATTACCGCTGGATCCCTGATGTCACATGGACCATTTTACCGATGTCCTTGCTACGTTTCTGTGCCTTGATCGTGTTAGGATCCTTGCTGTCTATGGAGGGTCAGAGAGCTCTCCGATTTAATAAAAAATATCTTAATTTGCGCTCCAAAGATGAATGAAGGTCTTACGGGTTTGGAACGACATGAGGGTGAGTAATTAATGACAGAATTTTCATTTTTGGGTGAACTAACCCTTGAAGACAGGATTTCCATTTTTTGAGACAACTACCCATCTTCCTCTCTATTCCTGCTTCCTCTTGATCTACATGCTCTTCATTTGAAATGAGCGTTCAAGAAAACCACAGTACTGTTTCCTCATTCAAGCGGCGAGTTGGATGATAGTGACATTATGATTGCAGTATCCAGTGAAATGCAGACGCGATGCTCATTACCTGCGCTCTCGGCGTATTCGTGACGACACATCAAGAGACTGGAAAATCTCTGTGAGGAACATGGTTTCAAATGTTTTCCTTTTGTGACTGTTCAAAAGTGACGCAATGCTCATAGTAAAATGTTGTTAATACTTCAGGATCGGGGGTTTCCTGAGGGACAGAAAAACCCCAGTTGTTTATTTTGTTTGGGTTTAGATGTCACGCTGCAAGTGCTCGTGTGTCTCGGCTTGCTCCAGAAGGGTTGAGGTGCAGGAGGGTTCTGCTTTGATGGAGCGTGGTAACTATGAATAGAATGTGCCTGTTATTATGATCACTGTGTGATGTATATTACCAAACTATGGAAGCCCATTTCAGATGCATTATATAATCAGGCTTTGGAAAATCTCATAATCTTGAGTAATAATTATGACAGTCATATTCATAAAATGAAGCGTCTAAATTATGACAGTCATACCTATGAAATAAATAAAAAATATGACAGAAAGTTATTTATGAGACAAAGTCAGAATTATGAGATAGTCATGTCAAAATGATGACATGCAAAGTTGTATTTATAAGATGAAAAGTCAAATTTATAAGTCAAAGATGAGTCATACCTATGATATGACATTGTATTTGACAAAAAAGTCAAAATTATGACAAAAATATTTGAAATTACGACTTGCTAAATTAAAATGGAAAAAAATCTAAATTATTAGGTAGAAAGTCGTAATTATGACATATATGAGATAAAACGTACATTTTTTTGTCATATTTGACATTTTATCTCATCATTTCAACTTGTTATTTCATTATGTCTATTTCAGAATTGTGGCTTTTTATCTCATAATTTCGACTTGCACCATAATTATTACTTTTCATTTCATGATTGCCAAAGAATGATTTTTTTTCTTTTGTGGCAGAAATCAGCTTCCATACCAAACTGAGTGAGAATCCTCTACCATGTTTCTTTCTCTCTGTTCTGCCATCTTTGTTCTCCCTATCTGCACTTCAATAGATGTTTGATTTGTGATTGGCTGCTGAATGAACAGGTTTTTTTGAAGCTACTATTTAATACAACCTTGACATGCAGCTACAGTAAAACAGTAGACAGAATGTATATGTTGCCTTTCCAGACTGCATTCATTCATTGCAGAAGCATGGGAAAGGGCAGTGTAAATTCATATACAACCACGTTTGTCATCATTATCCTCAATATGAACCGGTAATGTCATGATGTTCATTGATGTGAATGTGTGAATCCCCCTACAAAAAAAGTTTATTTTTATTGTTTGTACAGAAAATGTCTGAGGTCAAATGTGAGAATTATGATTGCATTAAAGTTATGTGTATATTCATACGTTTCACTGTGTCTTATGCAAACCTTAAACTGCAAAAACACATTTTCTTGTGTATTTTTGCCAGGTTTTACAGTAGAAATATCATCCCCAACATTTACATTTTCATTTACAAAATGAAATACTAAGATGTGAGTATATATTGATTTTTTTAAAGCATAAATCTTAACAAAATTTTATTCTGATTTACATTATGGGTACATTTTATTTGAGGGTGTTTTAAAAAAAATATATTTTACCAGAAAACAAGACAAAAATACTTCCAAGATTAAAATATATATATATAATAATTCCAGTATTTCCCACAAAAAATGAGTTGCATAAAACAGAAAGCTTTAAAGTTGAAATTTAATATTTACTGATGTACAAAACAATTCCCATGTTTTCTGAAAAATAATGGTAACAGCTGATTCAATATGCTTATCTCCATATGTACAGGGTATGTGTGTAGAGTTCATATACATACCGCTTTACCCTGTATTCTGTACGAGCAAATGATTTATAAAAACCATTTACGGATATGGGAGCAGACTTATTGCTTAACTCTACACTGAATGTGCGGCATATTAGCAGACACTTTACACACCGTGGGCTTGACTTAAACTGCACAAGCGGCAAACAGAGACAAAACGTGACACAACATATCTAAAGATCATTATTAGCTTAAGTTACTCCTGTCCCACGTCAGGATTCGGTTTCATAACAAACATTAATAAAACAGCTGATTAGTGCAGCCGGATGAATGGCGAGGAAACATTTCGCTCGTGTGGCTCGCAGAACCCATAGCATAGAGAATCTGAAAAGTCAGTGTCATGGTTATGGTTTTGGTCCACTTGCCTTGATCCGTTTAAATCAAACCCGTAGCCTCCCATTTCTGCAGTGCACAAGAAAAAGAAACGTAACTCATTCTCCGTTTAGCTCTGCTTAGGCTGTGTCTGGGGTAGTTGTGCTGTTCTTGACCATACTGCATAGCGTCGTTCAGCCACAGTTTTGATGCAAACACATCATTCTCAGGCTGATACTAGTGAAAACTCCACCGCCGAGGTCCAGTAAACACTTTGCAAGTTGTGAAAACAAAATCTGAAGGCATTAACCTGCCTTGTTTCAATGCATGTCCTATTCATGATGTGCATTATTGCAAACAGTTTCAAAATAATATGCACTGTAGAAATAGAGCCAGTGTTCAGTAAAATAACCGTATTTGGCAAGCAGTAGTTCTAACACGACATTATTGCACAGTTGGCAGCTCAAAATCAAATGTAAAAAGCTTTGCGCATATGCGAAACAATTCAGATAAGATGCGATCGCAGGTACACAGAATATCCATCGTTGCAATGAATTACATTTGAATACTTTGATGACTGCTGGATGAGATCTGCACAGTGACCACAAACTCCCTGCAATGGTATTTATACAAAGGCTGGTTCTAACACAAACTCGAAACTTGATAACTCGAAAACTTCCCTCAATCTACACTGCCGTCGAAATCTGTGCCGCATCGTGAGCATGTGCGAAAAGTATTGCGCTCTGGGTTTCTGAACAAATCTGGCCTTGAAGAAAAAAGCAAAAGGCCATGTAAGTAAACCTGATGAAGCAACGTGAAACATGCCAATGCAGGCTATTTAAGCTGGTTGGAAAGCAATATGATTCGTATTGTTTATGCGCATGTGTGAGCATGCAAATGATTGCATTGGGGTTGCATGCATATAATTAAGAATTTAAGAGGCTCCGTTTCTCCACTTGGAGTCTCTCTTGAGTATTTCGAGCTTTTAGGGAAGATGCTTTAATACATTTTAAATGGCCAGGCAGCTATGCTACAAACTGGTCCTGATACAGATCCGCGCATGCTTAACGTGCCTACATATTGTGGGATATCATTACTCGTAATTACAGGCAACACCATCCAAACCGTGTGCTCAGCGATGCTTTGTTAAAGGAGTTTTTTTTCTGATGCTGTCAGTATGGAAAACGCCCATGTATTGCTGTGTTTTGTTTGAATGGTAATTACAATGTGCTTCAAAACTACCCTGGTTGGAAACTCCTCTGTATGAGTTGCTGTTGGTTTTGTAGGGAGGAGTGGGGTGAGATGCGCCATCCCTGTAATCTAGCAAACTGGATGATTTTTGTCGAATGACCACATTTTAAAAAAGGTCTGTTGTATTTAGCTGCCTGCGATTCACATTGTCAATTTTTTTGTATGTGAAAAAAATTCATGTCAAAGTAAATTTTCTGCATGGCAGGTAAAATGAGTTTGATGTCAAAACAAATTTATCAATGTCTAAAAATATTTATCATACATTTTGGTGAATTGCCAGTGTAGAAAACAAAAGAGGCTATGAATTGTTAAATCACATCACGACTAAATAAATACATTTATCAATGAATTAGAAATTAATATTTAGTTTTTACCAAAATTGTAGCTTTTGGGTAAAGTGTGTCAAATGCAAATTCAAATGCAGAAAAAATCATATATACTTACATCATAAAATAAATGTTGAAAATTGTTACACTACATGCAAATACACCGGATTTTTCTAGTTGGTTAAGATGTGAATATTGAGCATCAAAATATAAGATTAATGTTCATTAATTGTTCATATTTTACCTGAAATAGTTCAAATATTCCCCAATGACTCAACATCCATGGCGCATCTTACCCCTAATGTGGGGTAAGTTGTGTCACTCAGCCATTTTTCCTAAAAAGTCATATTTCTGTGCCTTTATCTGTTCAGAAATATAATTAGGCATAGTCATTTCCCTGATGACTTATTTCTTCTTGCCTGGTTGACAATCTAAATAAAAAGTGGCACAGTTTACCCCACTCTCCCATTTATTCTCCTGCCTTTCCATGACACTGGTTCCTGTGTCCTTCCTGTCTTTCGCTCATTTTGCATCATGTTCTTGTTCTCTCCGTGTCCTCTTTTGCCCACCCGTTCCCTTTCTTTCCCCCGCTCTCTTCCTCCGTGTTTCCTTGCAGTGTGGGTTATTAAGGGCTATATTTAGAGCAAAATTGCAGTTTGGCTCTCAGAGACAATTTTATTTGGATTTAAAGTGTCGGCACCAGATGGGTGCGTTGGCAAGGTGCAGCTGAGTCACTCTCACACACACACTCGGCTTTTCTTATGTACAAAGACGAAGAAACACACACACAAGCGTGCCACAAATCAACAAACAAACACGTTTATGACGAAAACCCGCCGTGACATCATCGAACAGAAACTTCTTTAAATGAATCTCATCAACATAACTCAACACCGAAACGCGCTATGAAGCCACAAATCAACAGACACCCAAATTTATGAGGAATACACAGACGTTCACTCACAAGCCCATCCACACTGCGTATCTATGACATCCCACACATACAAACACACACGGCGTGTTTCGTGTGAAGGCAGGACCAGAGATTAGGGTTGGTTTGATTAGTACGGAGCAGAGAGTGTGCTTCACTGCTTAAAGACTTCCTCCAGGTTTTCCTCAACCTGACTTCACAATACCGTTTATAGTGTAAATGGAGTGTGCGTTACCGACCGCAAGCAGCTGTCATTTCGGCTGACCCTCTGAGGGCGAGGGGCTTCCCTCGCTCACCGTTTCCTCCATCGGAGCTGGGCTCTGCTCGCTGACGGCCTCCAAGCCTCCGTCCTCCAGAGGGTGGGTACAGTCACAGGGGAGCTGCGCAAGGTGCTCCTCTTGGGGCGTCGGCTCTGATTGGTCGTCTGTGTGTAATGGGCTGTTCTGCCTGGACAGCTCTGTGCACTCGGTCTCGTTCACCAGGCTTCCCTCGGACGGTTGCTCCGTTTGGTCGTCCAGGTCGGGGAGGTTAGGTTCCCGTGGTAGCGGCAGGCTCCTGTGACGACTCCAGAGCTTGTGGAGCTCGGTGACCTCTGAGACGCTGCTGCTGTTGCCGCTGTCGCGGAAGCTGGCCAGCGGGGGACGGACTTTCACGCCAGTCACGGTTACAGAGCCCTCGATGGCCTTACGCAGCTATAAACAGATTTTTTTTTTTAAATGTGTTTTTCTGCTATAAAGAAGAGCTAGTAAAAGAATACAATCACGCACCTCTTTTAGAGAGACCACTCCTACTAGACGTCCGGTGCTGGTGACATAGGTATGATCCAGGCCAAGTAGTGAGAAAATGGTGTGTGTCTGAACAAAAGGGACAGAGATAAGGACTGACATTCATGGATAAATAAAACGAGTCTGTTTGTTTTGGACACACTTTAGTTTGGGGACCAATTCTCACTATTATCTAACTATCAACTCTGACTTTTGCCACAATAAACTCCTAATTTGCTGCTTATTAATAGTAAGGTAGTTGTTAAGTTTAAAGTGCGTGCATAATTATTAAGCAAGTTGATATTCTGATCATATTTTTTCCCAACCTCATTTTACCAATTCCAAACCACATCAATCTTAATAACTACTATTCATTTTGTATTTAATCATTTATAAGTGATATATAATTGTCCATGAAGGCTGGAAGTGAAAAACTCAGGTGTATTATATTCAGGTGTGCAGAATTATTAGGCAGGTTTTCTTTTACAGATAAAATGACCCAATAAAGAGATTTAACTCCAACTGGAAGTCAAAAATTATTAAATGCCCATGAGAAGGATGCAATACTTATGCAATACTAGAATTTGCAAAGTTAAGGCATGACCATTGGACAGAGAAATGCTCACTGGGTCAGCACAGTCAGAAAGAACACGTTAACTGCAAAATAATTAAGAATTGAGGTAAAGAATTAGGTGTGAAACCACCAGGAACCATTTAGTCTCCAGTGCCACCATTTTCCAGAACTACAACCTACTTGGAATCTCCAGAAGTGCAATGTGTCAGGTTCTCCGAGACATTGCTTGGGAAAAAAATCCTAAAAAAATAACCTTTGCTTAATAAGAATGAAGTGTTGTGAAATACATGAAGACTGATTTTTATAGGTTTTATAGACAGATAAGTTGAGAGCGACTCTTGAAGGACCAGCACCACTTGTACCACTCTTTCAAGAATTTAGCTTCCAGAATCTGGCAGTAAGTTTTGGAATTCATTTTAGTCCATCTCTGCAAGACAGGCTTTTCAGGATAGGAGATGGAAATGCAATTAGCGTGTCTTTTCTTCTCCACCTGTTTTTCTGACTGTGCTGACCCAATGAGCATTTCTCTGTCCAATGGTCATGCCTTGACTTTGCAAATTCTAGTACTGCATAAGTATTGCATCCTTCTCATGGGCATTTAATACAATTTGACTTTCAGTCTGAGTTAAATCTCTTTTTTGGCTCATTCTATCTGTAAAAGAAAACCTGCCTAATAATTCTGCACACCTGAATATAAGGAGTTTTTCACTTCCAGCCTTAATGGACAATTATATATCACTTTTAAATGATTAAATACAAAATGAATAGTTATTAAGATTGATGTGGTTTGGAATTGGTAAAATGTGCTTGAAAAAAATATGATCAGAATATCAACTTAAAAATAATAATGATAATAATAATAATTATGCACGCACTGTAGGTATTGGGAAGGGATCTAAAATATGGTCATGCAGAATAAGACATTAATATGTGCTTTGCAAGTCAACAGTTTACAAACAGCCAGTATGCTGGTAATATGCATGCTAAGCAACTAGTTAATAGTGAGAAATGGTCCCTAAACTGAAGTGTTACCTTTGCTTTTCCATATGACTTTATATGGCTTACAATACAATATATTCCTAACAAAAATCTGCCATGTGGCTTCAGAATATATCATACAAATGATCTGCACTACTTTTATGATAATTTTTTGTCATTTTATATGGCTGAATAATAGAGTGCTGTAGGCATGACATTGTTTTTTAGGTCTAAACCCAGGAACAAGCATTTTTACACTTCTGTTTCCTTCACTTCATCTTCCGCAGGCTCTGTTTTTTTTTTTTTTATGGGTTTTTTGTTAAATGACTGAAATAAGGTCTGTGGTTCACACAAGTTCAAGACATTTTCATGTTTTATTCTATGACATAAAATACATCAGTAATGCTTGTGATTTTTTTTTTTAAAGCTTTTACTTTAAAGGCGGTTGCTAACAAGTGTCCTAATGGAACTACAGAGATTGTCAGGAACATTAAAAGTCATCATGCCGAACAGGTAAACTCATCTACTCACTAGTCTGTTTTACAGCCTTATTGTGTTAAGTTACTGGTCTCTTGCCCTATTCGGACGGTAATTGTGTCTCAAGGGGACGCAAGTTATTTTTAACATTTACTGGGGGTCGCTGGTGATTTAATTGCCTGATTTTATTTTATGGCTGAATTACCTACTGTTTTTTGACAAACACCAAGGTCGTGTGGTAATTTAATTGCCATCCGAATCCACATCTCTGAGTTTACGAGAAGAAATCAATTCAAAATTCAAAGTTTAAATCCTTTTTGAACACTGCCGAACACCATACGGTAACTGTTGTACTTCTCTGTAATTTGCGTGCATACAGTACATTTAGCTTTTCACTTCTGGGGACTGTATTTAGGTTTCAAAATTCATAAAAATTGTGTTAAATTGAATGCTTTTCTGTAATAACCCAAAAGCCAATGGAAAAATCCTATTGGGTTTTTGTCAAGGGAACTAGGGTGATGTAAACAACAAAGTTGGCCTACAAAACTACACTGCAATCATCACTATGCTTGGCAGATACAGCAAATCTTTTACCTTATGCAAAGATGTCCGTTCCACCAGCTGAAAGGGGGCGGGGTCTATTTTACAGTTGTTGAAATTAACAGCCTCATCCAACTGTTCCTCCTCCCACTCTGCTATCTGAAAAAGGACATTTTTAAAAAAGTTAAAACTATTAAAGGTTAAAAAATTTTTTTTATGTAAACTGACAGGGGCAATTATCCTAGGTTTTATACTATTTATGCAAGATCATAAGATAATCCTCTCCATAAGCAGTCCATTAAATATTAAAGAAATAATTCAAGCAAAAATGCAAAGTCATCATTTGAGTTTTAATAGAATTCTGAATTCCCCGAATCAAACTTTGAAACCCCTCTGTTTATTCTAGAATACACATTAGTTACAATGAAATGGAAAATACCTCAGAATATGTGACTCACTACAAGAATCATGATACAGTTACAACATAATTAAGGGGTAAGTATAGTATTTAATTGACATACCTCTGCTGTTGACATGTCATCTTCAACATCAGGTGTATCCTGAAAACATCAAGTCGAGAATTAGACATAGAAATGCACAAATGTTTCTTTCATACCTTCTTGTCCTCACAAACGGTCATGCAGTTCACAAGACAAGCGAGATGGTCCTCACTGCAGAACACAAGATCCAGGGGGCGAGGTTGGACCCAGATCCAACTCCTCCCACCTTACATATACCTAAACCTACCCATCTCCACCCCCTGATCCCTAAACCCCCCCATTTCCCCCCCCTAGATGTGGATCCAACCCCGCCCCCTGGATCTTTGTTCTGCGGTGAGGGGCTACTGAGACAAGCTACACATACTAATGTAATCTACCGAAGCGGCTCAAGCTTTACTAAACGTTAGCAAGCTTAAGCAATACATTAAATGCAGCCTAGGGGAGGGTGAGGTAGATTGGATGCCATTACGAAGGCAATAAAGAACTAAGACAGGGAATAGCTTTTCGAAAGGTTTTTAATTTGATTGGAGAGTTTAAGGCTCCAGTTCAAAATTGGACTTGAATCAACTTTTAAAGATTTGTTCAAAAGAAACGGGTCCAACTGCAACATCCCCTGACGTCCGCCTGTAGGTTTACAAACATTTGGGGCCTGTTCTGAATCTTGACAACTGCAAAACCAAACCATGCGTCACACAAACGCACTCAAACCCATGAGAGATAAATATACACTTCATAACATGGCATGAATCATCTCATGAGTCAGCTTGTTCCCTGTTCCCTAGAGGGGAAGTACTAAGCTGGAGGAGAGTATCAATACAGCACACAGGCAGAACGCAATAAGGCCTCTGAGTAAAGGCCCTATTGGCTGTGCCACTGCCACCCCCGATGATGCGTGTTTGTGGGCGAGCGGAACGAGTCCCTGTGGCTGCGTTCTTACCACCATGGGTATCTTCACACACTTGGGCCTCCTGCTCCTCTTAGGAGCCATGGGGCCAGTATTGCTCTTCCAGACAGAACAGATAGAAAAGGGAGGAGCATAAAGCGTTAATGTAACTCTAACGGAACGCTCTCTCAACAGCTGCACCTTCAACATTGACTATTATCAAGGGACACTGTTAGAGCCGTCGTTCCTCCAAAGAGAAAGGCAGAAAGGGGTGTGTAACAAATAAATCAGCAGCCGAAATCCCATGTTAATGCCAGGCTGACAAAACGCTCACTTTGTGCTGGTCAACAGATGTCGCTTGATAAGAGAAGTCCTGTGGGAGTCTACTTAAACATGAGGTGAAACTCCAAAGAAACACAGACTAAGGCCTTGTTCACACTGCACTTAAATCCTATTCATTTTTTTTTTAATGGCTGGATTCAAGAAACATTCTTAAGAATGTTAACTGCTTGATTTTTCTAAGAATATTTTGTATTCTCAAAAACAATTCTGAAGAATGTTATTATCTGTTTTAGATTCATTTAAAGACAAAACTTAAGAAAAATCTGAATTCATTGAAAGAATATTTAGGAAAAAAACATCTTGAATAACCCTTTAAAGGGTTAGTTCACCCAAAAATCTAAATTAGCCCATGAATTTCCCTCAAGGCATCCTAGGTGTATATGACTTTCATTTTGAATATGGATATTTTTCTTACAAAAACGCATCGATTCGCTACAGGAGGCCTTTGTTCACCCCCCGGAGCCATGTGAGACACTTTTTATTATGGATGGATGCGCTTTATTTCACTTCTTTTGGACTGATGAACTGCAACACCCGCTGACTGCCATTAAACAGCTTGGAAAATCAAAAACTATTTTTAATATAACTCAGATTGGATTCATCTGAAATAAGGAAGTCATATACGCCTAGGATGGCTTGAGGGTGAGTAAATAATGGGCTAATTTTCATTTTTGGGTGAACTATCCCTTTAAAGTTAGGAAGAATTTAATTTTAAAAAACTTAAAGTAAGTACATGGATCATTACAAAAACATGACTCTTCGAATGCTAAGGCTTTGGCAAGAACCGCTATTCAATCATTCAGAACAAAAGCTTGTCATTTTCTTTTTTCGAAGAAATAAGATGTTCTTAAGAATATATTTGAGAACTACTTTTGAATTTTTTTAAAAATTGCATTTAGGAATATTCTGACAAATTTATTTTAGGACATTTCTTAACTTCTTTCTTAAAAAGATTTTTGTGAATCCGACTCCTGATCTGTATTTAAGTCCAATTCAAAAAATCAGATCCGCTCAGCATTCAATAGTAAATGCCACATGTGAGTGTAAAGCAGTGGTGGACAGTAACGGAGTAGTTTTACTTCGTTACAGTGGGAAGTGATGCCCTCGGGGGGCATTTGGCAAAGGGGTGGTTTTATACCACAGACAAGGTTTAAGAAGAAAAAAAATCATTATGAAAATATAATGATATTTTCCTTATTATATTCATTATTTCCTTATTGGTTATTTTGGTAAAATCCCAGGTATTTTGAGCAATAGGATTATAAAAAAATATATGCTAATATAAAATTAAATGATAAAAGTAGCCTATATAAAACTGCAAAATAAATATTAATCTATCAGTACTTTTTACTTAAGTACATAAAAAATCAAGTACCTTTGTACTTTCACTCGAGTAAAATTGAAAACTGAGTACTTTTACTTTTACTGGAGTAATATTTTATTATACGTATCTATACTTTTACTCAAGTACTTGATTTGTGTACTTCGTCCACCACTGGTGTAAAGAGTGAATTTGGATATTCTGCAGCACAAATGTTGAATAAAAATCCATGAAATCTAATTTGACTTGACAGATGGTTCCTCCTTAGTCTCTCGTCCCATATTCAGTCTCTGGGCACCTGTAAAATCTACAGCTACACAAGTGCCACGTATCACCCACGATCCCTAGAGAGCCATCGTACCTCTACTAGCTCCTTCACAGGTTCCCCAGAGGAGAGGTTTGGAGAGCCTGCAGAAGAGGAGTGATTAGATTAGCACAAGATGGGTGCGTACCAGGGGGTCGCAGACAGTTCGCAACACGACATACATGAGTAGGAGTTGAAATGTGTGAGTAAGTGTTATATACACACTGTTCAGTGACTCTGTGTTGCTGATTGCAGACACCGTCTTCAGAGCAGACTTGAGGGGGATCTGGGAGTTAGTCAGTGTGGGGCTGTAGGAGGACTCTTCAGTGGAGATCTGGAGAAAAACAGTCTGTTAGATCCACTTATAAGTTTGATTACTAACACAGGCTTCACATACTCCCAGCTGTATTACTGAACTCAGAGATGACAGCCTGCCGGGAAGGAATTCTTTGTGATGAAACAGAAAACATGAAAAAAACAGCGACCTGACAATCCTATATTCTTCTTGAGGAATAAACAGACAACTGGGGAACACAGACTCCAAAAACAATGTCAGACTAACATTGAACATAATTAAAGAAATACTTCACCCAAAATTGAAAATTATTTATTAATTTCTCTATGCTGTTCCAAGCCCATATGCCGTTTTCAGTTGAACACGGAAGGAGAAATGTTTATGCTGTTCCATCTTGTACGAAAGCTCATAATGACCAATAAACACTGCAAGGGAACCATAAAAGCAGTCCATGTGCCTCATTTGCTATATTTCAAGACCTCTGAAGCAATACTACACAGACTGAAATTTAGGTCCTTAATTATGGAAAATGTGCCTCTTCGCTGCAGCTCTCAAATCTTATTCTTCATCTTGCGTGTTCAAGCGCAGCATTCACTTACCATGTGTAGGATATGTCATATATTTTTGGATGTATTGCTTTGTTGGATATTCAATTGTTCATACTCACTTCCCTTATTTTAACATTTAGATTACCTATGCCATCAATTAACCATCACTTAAAATGAATCTTTAAAGGGGTCATGAACTGAGAAAGCAAATTCCCTTGATCTTTTGACATATAAGAGGTCATTGTACTATAAAAACATCCTGCAAGTTTCAGAACACAAAACTTTCTCGTTAGTCTAACATCTTATAGTGAAGGCAGTCTGCCAAAACTACAGTTAGTGGAATGTACCACTCTATGATGTAATAGTGTGGATAAGTACCACCTCCTCAGAAGAAGATTTTTGCTTAATACTTTGTTTGGAGATCTGTTGTTTAAATTATTACTTGCTGCTAGGAAGGAATATTTAGTTGTCTACCAATTTCTACTTTGTATTTTCGTTGTAGTTTGTATTTTTGATTGCACTTACTGGTAATTATAATAATTGCCATTGGCTAAGGAGGAGCCTGTGTTATTTGCATTGCTCTCTTCCTGCACTTAAGTGCGAACTGTAGTTTCGATTTGAGCAATTGCCCTGCTATAGGCTATTGGCTGTGCTAATTAGAAGGCGGCCACAGCTGTTTTGACTTTAGTCTCTTAGACTGTGTATTTCCGTGCATGTCTGTGCACTGACGCGGAAGCGTCAATGTCCTCATTCCCGGAAGATGGCAGTCTACTTTTAGTCTTTGACAACTTCAATATTCATCTGGACAAGCGTTAAGCTACAGACTTCCATTCACTCCTTGCTTCATTTGATCTCTAACGCCTTACCACTACAAGCACGCACAAATCAGGCAACCAACTTGACTTAATTTACACACAATTGTATTGCAGACAACATTTTGGTAGAACCCCTACATATCTCTGACCATTTCTTCATTACATTTAAACTACATTTTGCTACCTGTGTGCCACCAACCCCTATACCGGTTACTTTTAGACGAAACCTACGCTCCCTTTCCCCCTCCCATCTTTCCTCCGTTGTATCCTCCTATCTTCCCTCACCTACCCATTTCTCATCTCTGGATGTGAATGCAGCAACTGACACTTTATGCTCTACTTTAACCTCTTGTCTAGACGATATTTGTCCTCTCTCCTCCAGGCCAGCACGGGCTGCCCCTTCTAACCCCTGGTTATCCGATGTTCTTCGTGAGCATCGGACCAAACTCAGGGCAGCAGAGAGAAAATGGTGCAAATCAAAAGATCCGTCAGACCTGAGTATGTATCAGTCTTTGCTTTCATCTTTCTCTGCTGAAGTCCATCCTGCCAAATCTTCATACTTCCACAACAAGATCAACAGCGCTCCAGACACACGTAATCTCTTCAAAACTTTCAATTCTCTCCTCTGTCCCCCTCCACCACCTCCCACCACTTCTGTAACAGCTGATGATTTCGCCACATTCTTCACAGACAAAACTAGAACAATCAGTAGTCGATTCTCAGCCCCACACACACAGGACCTCAAACCAACCACACCTACTGCTAAAACTCCCATCTTCTCCTTCTGTCCCCTCACTGAGGCAGAAGTATCAAAACTTCT